ATGATAGCGATTTATTTTTCAAAGCAACGAGGATGGACACAGAAACTTTTGATTTTGAATTGAAATCTTTGATCATTTTTTTGGATGGAGTAAATTTGTGGCAGCATTGATGGCTTGACGAAAAATGTATCCTAACTCTTAAAATACAGTCTAGCGCAACCAATTGCATTCGGTTTCTGGCCTTAGTTTTCACTGCGTTCATCACAGAAAAGACCCTTTCAACCACTGCATTGCTCGACGGCAAACTAACAAGGAGAGCTCTCCAAGTCCGGGTCACCGAATGCCCTAAAAATTTTTTTGTGATCTCCTAGTACATGATGATGATCCCCCATATAGTTAAAATGCCCATTGGATCAAACTAACTATATGGGGGATCATCATCATGTACTAGGAGATCACAAAAAAATTTTTAGGGCATTCGGTGACCCGGACTTGGAGAGCTCTCCTTGTAAGTAATTTTAGCATGTATAGTGCTATTTCTTGAAAAATGAGTTTTCCTCCAGCATTTGTTAATCTATACAACGCACACCAAAATTTATAACTATCTCTCATCTCTTCTTCATTTAATTTTGAAGGTATATTTACAACTAGTAATTTTAAATACTGTCTTTCAATCATTCCAATTTTATCATTATCCATAAACTCTTTTTTAAAAGGTAAATTGTCAAAAGCTGGACGATTTTCACTCAAGCATACTTCTGGAGACAAAATTCTTAAATTTTTATAAAAATTGAGATTAGACGGTAATCTATTACAGAGTTCTACACACAATGACTTGATGTATTCGAATGACCTATCTCTAACCAAGTAGCAAATATCACGGTTTATATTATTTGAAGTAATGTACGAGTCACATTCAGCACCCAAGTTCAATTCATTCACACTTATAAATGCCAATTTATTATCCATATTATTAATAATTATATTAATATCATTACTAGACACGAAAGCTGGTCTCATGATTTTTCGAGCTATGAAAAATATAAAATTTATTAAATCTTCATAAACCAAACCGAGATCTACATTATCTTTTTGGAAAGAAATGTTCAAGTCATTAATTTCCCGAAGCAGTGGGGTGACTAGAATTAACATTAAATGTGTACTAGGATCTTTCAAAATTCTCACTATTTCCCTTAAGGTATGGCATTTGTCCTCATCTCGATCCACCTCGATAAAATGACTTTTTAACTCATTATAATTTTTTAATATAACATTTACGACGTTGTAACGGGACAGCCAACGTGTAGCTGCTAACTTGACAAAATTGAGAAATTTTTTATCTGAATCATTTTTTTCACAACCTGCATTCAAGGTTTCCCATGTCATTTTATAAGCATGTCTTCGATTACTGCTATTACTAAACCAATTATATACTTCTTTGCATAGAAATTCTACAGTAGCAGGAAACTTTATACTTGCAGCCGAAGAGGCATTGTTTAAAGCGTGACATATACACCGCACTAATTGAATCGATGGATACTTTTTTTTTAACAAGGCAAATAATGAGTTCTTTCTAGCACACATGTTCGCACCACCATCTGTACCGACACCAAGTAAATTGTTTAAATTTAATTTAATCGTATCGCAATATTCAATTAGTGCAGTGTATAGTGACATAGAATCGGCGCGCTCTAGTTGTATGAGTCCAACATAATTAGTAGTCATTTTATTTTTACTTTCACTGAAATATTTAACGCATACACCCATATACTTTTCGACACTTACGTCTGTTGACTCATCGACTATTAATGAAAAAGGCATTGAGCCAATGTCATCAATTAATTCACATAGAAAATTCGGGGATAAGACATTATTAATAAGAGAGGAACATTTTGTTCGATGCATTTGAAAATCTTTTAGACTAGGAACCGTACTCTTCAATACTTCACACAAATGATCCATTGCACACACGGATGTATGACAAGCGATAAATGCAGCGATCTTTAAGTCCCGAATTTTGTCATTATCTGAAGTGACTTGCCCCATGGAGGTGATTGTTTTCTGCTTCTTCGGATTTATATTATCCATCAATCTCACATGCGTTTGTTTTTCGCCATGTTGTTTCAAATCGGTATAATGCGCTCTCAAATCTTTATGGCAAACAGTGCAGTAGGCCTGATTTCCAGTTATTGGATTTATCACTTCTGCTTTTGCGAGCCATCCTATTGAAAAATAACGTTTACGAATATATGTAAAAAATCCCTTCAGCGTGCGATTTAACGTGTATCATAGCAAATATTTCAAATAAAGAATAAGATACAATTATGTAAAGATTAATAGAAACAATTACCTGTAGCCCAGCTATGGCTTTCCCATTCCGACTTATACTTGAACACTCGCACTTTAGATACACCACCTTTATTCTTATTACTCTTACTCATGTTGATAATTATATTATATTATAAAAACCGAAATATAAAAATCACTTCAATACACAGAGAAAACTTATGGGAATTCCGTCGAGGGATATCTATAAAGACTGTTGCTTGTGTGACGCAGGTCCGCGCGAGTCAAATGTTTGTTGTGTTTCTTTCTCTCTCTCTCCCACGTACAGTATAGGTGACGGTGGCGGCGTGTTCATTCTGTTGAAACGTTACAGTTCGAACGCTGGCACCAACTGTAGAAAATACTTCTATAGGAAGCATTTCGTCAGCTGGCGCAAATTAAAAATTTATGAATATGAATCATAGTAATAATTATTTTTACTATTATGTTTTCGGTTATATTATTGAATGCGCATGAGTACAGTCACATATCAACTGATATACTGTCAAACATATAAAAAAATATGAAACAATAAATATTGCCTTTAAAATTTCAAATCGCCAAAAAATCGCCAGTCGCCAACTTGAAAAAAAAATCGCCATAGTCATTAAAAAATCGCACATTTGGCGATTAATCGCCACATCAAAATTTCAAATGTTCAAGACTGCTCAATTGAAGAGAGAGAACCAACGCATTTAAAAAAAAATAAACGGAAGCAGTCCCAGAACCCAGCAGAGATTGCACTTAATAATGTCAATGCAAGCTTATCTGGCATTATACAAAATTTATCTAATCCACCAACTGAAAAAGAAAATACAGAAGACATCAATGCATCCATTGGTCAACTTGTTATAGCTGCATTAAATCAATTCAGCCCTAAAACTGCTAAAAAGAAAAAAAAAACAATTAATGAGATTAGTTTATGATGATGACTCAGAATCCGATTGAAGATTGCAATCAATAGTTATAATGTGTGCACACATTTTATACACAAATATAATTTATTAGTTCACTCAGAATATATGCAATAAAAATATACATAGTATTTACATAAACTTTGGAAATTACTTTAATCAACCAACTATTTTAACAATAATAATCATTCACATTTATTTATAAGTTCACATGCACTTTTCTCCAATAAAATTTAAACTGACACCACAAACTTTGGTCACCCACTGCAATGTACGTCCTTATTTAAATAATATTTCCATCACTTTCATTATAAATTAATTTTTCTTTTGTGTGCACTTGAATCTTTGTAAGCGATGAACGATGATATCTCTTACAGCTATGTTGTCAGCTTGCGTATTACCACTCTCATGATTGGAAGATTTTTGTGAAATTTCTTTCATCTGCACACAAATATATATACATTAATAATTATAATAATTTTTAATACTTCTAAATATAATATATCAAGAGGTGCGGTAGCACCTAGCTGGCAAAGTATAAAAAAAAAATTATTAAAAAATTTTTTTCAAAAATTTAAGTTATTTTCAAAAAAACATTTATTATGAAAAAAAATTTTTATGCAATAGTTTTTATATAATTATGTTTATAAAAAAATATAATTATTAAAATAAATTTATTCCATTGAAATCCATTGAAATTAGCCTTATTAACTATGAAATATCAGCTAGGTGCAGCGCACCTATTCTATACATCTGCTCGAGAGAAATAAAAAAATGTATTTCTAGTTGGGGTACTTCTGGTATTCGAAGTGCTACCAGATAGGTATCATTCGATAGGGAATAGAAAATAATGAACTCATGCCAATTTTCAGATGATTTGGTGCATTGGATAAAAAGATCGAGCCATCCAAATTTTTTTTAGCATGAAAACACGTTTTTTTCCGATTTTTTGTCAAACATGAGTCAGCCACGAGATCTCGGGGAATACTTAACCGATCAAAATTCTGACGCAAGATTTTGAAAGGTATACAGCTCTACTCCAATAGTTCACTTGCAGAATTTCCGATTTCCCGGAAAATTCCTCTTTTAAATCGATAATTGAGTGAAGTGCCGTTCAGAGGTTATGTTTCAAATATGTTTCAAATTTCGTTTTCATGTCAGCCACGAGATCATAGCGAAAAAACATTTTAACCAAATTCGGTCCGGTGATTCGGGAAGGTTTTGGGCCGTAAGGTCAATGTGAGTATTTTCGCTCAGCTAAGCCCCTATTTTCGTTCAACTTTGAATTCAATTTTTACATGAAATCAAAACTTAATACCAGTATTTAAATAATAAATTTATGTTAAACATGCTCAGCTCAATACGATTAATTTAAAAAAAAAAATTGTTGTGTTAAATTAGATCTTTAATATTAAATTATTGAGCGAATATAGAGACATGAGCGAAAATACCCACATTGACCTTACTACAATAGTTCACACTCAGAATTTTCACTTTTCAGAAAATTTCGAATAACTCGTGCGCTATTTTGCGATATTTTTCATTCTTTTGAATTATATTCGCTTTGTGTTAAGAGGAGATCCTATCCTTATTGAATGAATTTCAATATTGAAAGGGAGGGATGATGGCACGAGTAACGGCAAATTTTAAGTTCATGCGATATTTAAATAATAAAAAAAGCAAACCCAAGTAATCAATACTAAAATTAATGTAAATATACAACAAATAAATGTAACCAATACGTGAATTTACAAGTAAAAACTTGAATATTGCTGTTATTTTATGAAATTTAATTTTAATACTGGTATTAAAAGCAATGTTTCATGCCTGAAAAATACAAAAATTAAATGTATTGAGATCTAAGACAAGTACTATCGGAAATTCAATGAATTTTGGCTCTTTTTTCCAAGCATGCGTGAGTAGTTGGTGAGTTACCGTTAGGTGGTGTATAGCCGAATTTTTGGAAACTAAAAGAGAAAAAGCAAAGTTTTAGCATTAAGTAAGCGATTACACACACCACAGAGTTGCAACCCAGGTGAAAATAGTATGTAAGATCTGACTCCAGATCTGGCATCAGATCTGGTATAAGATCTGACAAATATACACCAGATCTGACATCAGATCTGATACCAGATCTGAAGTGACTGTAATGCCTTCAATTATTTAAACAATAAGTTTATTAATAATTAAAATTTCATAATAAATCTTAATAATAAAAGTTGTTGAATCAATTTAAATTCACATTATCAGAAACCTAAATATTGTAGGAATTTTTCTTAAAGGTATTATCGATGTGATTATTAAAATATAACTAAATTTGTTATAAAATTTTAATTATTAATAAAGTTATTGTTTAATTAATTAAAGGCAATACAGTCACTTCAGATCTGGATGCCAGATCTGGAGTCAGATCTGACATACTATTTTCACCTGGGAAGCAACCTGCTTCCGCGTTACATTCGGCCTCGTAAGTCATCGTATCAGTTCGCATAATAAAAGGATTTTATTCTTATTATTCTTTTTTTCTAAGTCTGCAATTTATACCCCCGTTACCCGCTAATCATTTGCTTTTTCAACAATGCCTTTGAAATCGTTTCACAAATTCTTTCTATTTTCTAATGCCATTGGCAAAAGCTTTGAAGCATGCGACAAATCAATCATTGAGTTCAATCATTGAGTAATATTACTAAAATAAGTGATGAGAATTTATCGAAATTTTATTTTAGCATTAGCAATTGCTTGAGTTGTTATCTTAGCTACTGCTCAACTAAATGCTCGAATTTGCAACTTTGTAAAGTTTGCTCTTATTGGTAGAAAAAGTAATGGAATTTTTTGTCATTTGAAGAAATGTCCATGACTCTCTCTTTTACCATACTATAAAATATATTCACCTTACGTATGTATTCAATTGACTTATCAGTAACTTCAGTTGACTTGTTAGATTGAGTTTGTTCGGTATCTGAATATTCTTCTAGAACAGGCGGTGATGATACATTTAAAACTGTTTCATAAACGTCCAACAAGTTGTTATTGTTCTGGGAAGTCTGGTAAGTTTGAGGCAATTCTGCAATAGACTCTTCTATCCTCTCCTTTAGTACCCTCTCATCTTCTACCTTATCAGAAGAATTTGATTTGATAGCAGCTTTAGTTGGTTTTTTGGAGCTAAAAATTAAAGTTCAATTAATTAATGTTAAATTATTTTTTAAATGCTAATAAAAAAAGTATTAATTTTACCTTCTGGTATACATGTAAGGTTCCAGGTAACTTAAATATTCATACTTGTTAATTGCTATTCCCTGTGCTTTTTTTGTTCTCTCTTTTGAGTAGTATTGCCTGAGCCTCACGAAGCGACTTTGACACTGGTCGACTACAAAATAAATCAATAAACACTCAAAATTGTCTTATTAGCCTAGAGAAGATGGCAGGGCACGTCATGATAAACAGTACATCGTAAAATCTATATCTCACTACAGGCAAGGTTTAGAAGCTTGCCTGTTGCCTCTAGATAGTTGCAAACTTATTTTTGGCATCTAAACTTAACATTCAGACTTAATTAGGTGCTCGATGTGGCTACTGAAAAGCTTGCTATAGACAGAAATTCTCGTAGTGTATGTATCCAAATTCCATTGGGTATATAACATGCAGCAATAATGAAATAGTAGTTCGAATACCCATGCATACATGCACTATAGTTACTGGTTATTGTTATTATTATTATCACAAGCAACCTCATCATCATCACCATCATCATTATCATCATCATCGCTCTCTCGAGCTTATTACTTACTTTAATCGGTCGGTAGAAACGACACGCGTGCGCAATGCACATCCCGTACTAGCAGACGTATAAGTACATTTGCACTTTTGCGCGTATAAATATATTGATAAATCAAACTTGGATTTATATACACACTTTCTTGACACAAATTACCCAACGATTCGCATTAAATTCATTAAACGAGCGGCTAGTGGCAGCAGCAGCATATCGTGTCGGTGCGAGAGCAAAAAAGAAAAGAAGCCGCGTCGTTGTATATTTTATGTATAGGTATGTACGGTGGGTAGTCGAAGCACACAGCAGGAGAGGAAAACGACAATCAATCAAAGCACGCGCGCGTCTCTAATTGAAACAGATCTTATAATACTGCGTGTTTCTTCTTCTCTCTTTCTCTCGGCTTCTTTGCGCTCACTGTGCCTATGTACGTGTGTGTGATCACGGTAGAATTCAATCGAGCGACGAGAAAATTGTAAGGTACATTTATAATACAGTGGAAAACAGCAAGGAGCGAAACGAAGGTGCGAGATCTCACACGCGAAAGGAAGCCTCGAGCAGCAGCAGCATCGGTGGTGGCGGCGGAACTGAAAAAAGGGAAATGAAAGAGGCTAAGAGAGATAGAAAAAGAGATGTATGTGCATAGTTACAAGTATACTACCTATTTATATTTTTACTTGCAAACGAGATGCAACATACAGCTTTAGTGCGAATATCTCGATATGTGTACGCGAGACGCAAGAGTCTTTCAATAACAGTAATTACAGGATAGATCTCTCGCATGTCAACAACTTTTCCCTATATGCAGTTCTTTCCTCTCGTTTTTTCGTGTTCTGTACGTGTACTCTAGCGTGTACACCCATCACCAGAGTCAATCGTATATGAAAAAAAACCCTTTTCCTTTTTATACACTCTGCTCGTCACGCAACCGAGAAGACCTATTCGGCACGTACACATGGGGATGTGCTCGTCGCCGGAAAGTGCGGTCAACGATACATCTTCTAATGTGTACAATAATATGCAACATTTGCAAAGTATTTGTACTAATGGTAATATGTACCTTAGTATATATATTGGAGTATATTTTTTCAATCGAAAACAAAAATGGGGGAACAAAACGTACACGCGTGTAATTCGTCGTTTCCTCGATAACATAATGCGAAAAAAGATATGAATTTGTAAATTTGTATATACGAGAACGAGCGAAACTTTGTGTTGGCATGCACGTTTTGCGGTCTATATATGGAGCTTAATACATGACTCACAATGTGTGTACCTATGCGAGTGTATGTTTTTGAAGAATTGTGGCTTGAGCGTCGAGCATACAAGCCAACACACGTCGTTTCTTTTTCGCGCTTTTGTGCGCGATTGCGAGCCACGAATCGCGACTGCAGGATGTATATTAGCTCCCGATCCTTGCGCACACTGTTTTCCGTTTACACGAAAGTAAAATGTGTGTGCGTGTGTGTATACCTTTTACAGCGGAGAGCATGCGAATGTCATTATCGGATATGCGTATGCGCTTAAAAATGTATCGTTTGGACCTCATGAATGCGGTTACGAGGAGCTGCTCACAGTGCATTATACGCTTATAATGTGTAGTTTATCGATGAACTTTCGCTTCTTTTTTCTTATTCTCTTTTTTTGGTTGATTTTTTTCCGCTGTTGTATTATGCTTCGAAGCGGTAGTAGCGGTTTCTCAACTTTTGCCCATATACGCGCGTATAAACGTACGAATCGAGTTCTCAGGGCACCGATCGTGTGTACACGATCGGCTGCGGGGCGCGCGTGCGATTTGCTTTTCAATTTATATATTATACAGTGTGCAACTCTTATGTATATGAGAAAAAGCGATAGCGCGGCAGTAGTGGTTTCGCGTCGATCATCCTTCGAGTCTTTATTTATTTCAAAAAGGATTTATGTATTATTGTAATGTGAACGCATCGCGAATGAAATCACGTATACGATATATAATGCCGCACGTAGATATGAAAAAAAATAAGAAAAAAAAATGATACCAGAAGGAGGATACAGGAGCGTTAAAATGCATCGGTGTACGCGAGCAATTGAAAAATTCGCCTCGGCAATACGTACTGCCGCCGCAAAGTCGAGTCATAAACGCTTCCGTAGAGCCATTTCCGACCGTGTATGTATACTGCATGTGTACAGCTCGCACCGCTAACGCGCATCTGTTATCGTCTAAATAATAGTCATACATATAATGCATACATGGATGCGGGAGTTAAATGACGCAAAAAAATAGATTAAAACGCGAAGCTATATCGGAGATGAAGAAAAGAAACGAAATAAAATAAAAATAAAAAAGTGGGTAAAGAAGAAGCACGGCAGCCTGGCGAAAAGAAAGTATTGCCGAGCATGGACAAAGTACGGGCATAATCGCTTACTTTGCATGGCCATTAGACTATAGGCGGGTACTACTAGGCGGGCTCTTATTCTCGCATATATGCATGATACAGCGCAGGATGTAGCATGTATATGTACGCAAGGTTCACTCTGTATAGCAACTCGCAAATAACATACACGCATATATAAATGCTCGGTGTCGTGTACGCGACTCTCGTATACATGCACGCTCTCTTCCGGAATAGACGCCGTGCTACTGTCGTACGAGAGAAAGCTCATCTGTAGTTACTTGCAATGCCAAGGATTTCGCTAATATCATTGATAAATTCAGTACCATATGGTTAACATCAAAATAATAGCAAACAATCGTGTGCAATTATTCATACAATTTAACTTGAATTGGAAGACTTACGATATTCTTGTTCTACCGTTTTGATATATGCTTAATTGTTTATACAGATTTTATTATCTCTAAAAATAATTAATATATTTTTTGTTGTCATAAGGGACGTTAGACAAGAATATGCCATAAAATTAAAAATATATTTATAACATTAAGTTTTATGAATATGTTGAAAACGGTAAAGTGAATTTGTAAAAATAATTGAAAAAAATCGTACGATGCTCCAGGTATATAATTTCACTGTTTTTGTCAATTTCGAATGTTTTACATAAAAATTATCGTAATGTTCTCAACGACAACGAGTTGAAATGCTGTTTTATATGCTTAATGTGTGTGCTCAAGATGCATATAAACATGCGTCGAAAGGCGCCAAATAAGTCGGAAGTGGCTGATCATTCAACTCTTCGGAGCACAATTCGCATTATACACCGGCTACTGACTCCACGAGTCACGCATTATAACCGAGGCGCATCTAATGTCGCTTTTAGTCGCACTTACATTTTATACGCGTATATTGTACATACTGGGCTATTGAAATTGTGGTCTCGTGTGCATGTGCGGTCGATTTACGAATGGGCCACCGCGCGCATATGCCACTGGACTGCTGTTGCTGCTTTTTTTTACTTTTTTTGAAACTGTGCCAATAAACAAAAGAGAAAAGAAAAAGACGACAAGGAAGCGGATGCACTCTTTGAATCTTTACAATTAATCGTCCGATCTGAAATCAGCTATACTTTATTCAATTATTTCGGAAGCGTTGAAATCATGATCGCGATAATAATCAATGTCACCACAAGACCACTACTGGACCTTCTATAGAAATCACAGCTGCCATGATTGATTTCAATTATCTGTATACGTATTTTAATAGTTTGTATAATATATTCTTTAATCATGTAAACAAATAATTATTATTCGAAAAATATTATATGTGTGCTTTCACAGTAACGAGCAGTTCACTTTGAATTTAACTTTTCAGCACGTGCTACCTTGTATTGTGATTGATGCTCGATGTAAGTTCAGCCGCTCTTCCACCAGGTCCCCCCGCGTGAGTGTGTCATTGAATCGTGACTGCGAATGTATCTAATCGTAATTTGCGCACCACAGGTCATTTAATCGTATCGTTGCACAACGAAACGCTCTTCTTCATATTTATAACATTATGTGCTATATATTTTATAAAAGTTGACTAACGCATAAGCGTCTGACAGTATAATATAATATTAGTTTTATATAACTTCTGGCATGTGCGTATCGTAAGATATACGCCAAATGACTTTTAGACGCACGCGCATCAATTATGACTATATGAAATTATTAACTGTATAAGACGCGTTTAGGACTTTCTATTATATAAAACATTGACCGCACGATCGTAAAACATCAAGTTTGTAACAAACAAAAAAAAAAAAAAGAAAAAAAATTCGTCGCCATTCAAACGACGCTCTAAATTTAAACGTTACGTAATGAGGCGGCCACAAAAAGGGTGCAGGACGCTGTGTAGCATGCTTATATAAACATTCGCAGCATCGATCATCGTGGACTTTGTGCCGCACATGAGCATACTCTGCGAGAGTGCGCGAGGTGTGAAACGCGCACGGCTTGGCCTGTGCTCCAACGTCGAGTTTTGCGTGATCGTCTTTTTTTCTCTTTCTTTTCTGAGGTCTGCGACTGTCCTTGCACACTGGCAGTAAATTGATACACACATATATAAATGTGTTTACCCATGTAATGTCACCGCCGTTGAAGCTCACCACGGGTGGCTTGAACGTCTTGACAAGTATGTGCACGTGTTCTATATTATACAAATGATAAGTGTTAGCACAGCATA